TTCTGAACAAAAAATGGAAAATTTTTTTTTTTTTTTTTTTTTGCCAAGACAAAAATGGAATGGAGAAAATGAATACTTTGTACAATATAGTGTTTATGGCATATATTTACTTATTTGAAATGATACAACAGGGTACAAAATAGTGTCTTCGCCTAATGGCTGTTTCTTTAAAAGATTTTTGCCAAAGTCTCACTAGCTGACATTAACGTTGTCTAGTACATTGCACATAATTTCAGCTTGCATCTTAAAGAGTAAAAATGGGTCGCTTCCTTACCAGTCACTGTTGGTGTCATTGGTGTGGCCGTTGCTAACACTGTTCCCATTACTGAGAAGAGCTGCTCTTGGACATTTGGGAGGTCTGTAAACTCAGACACTCTCAGAGTCTGAGTAGGGTCGTATGATATCTTCTGAAGCTCTCTTATGTCAGACCCCCTTGTTCCGATGCCAATCACAACGATGCCTTGCTGTTTGAGAGCCAAGGCTGGGGCTTCAACACTGTCGAAAGACTTTCCACCATTTAGTAGTATCAGCGTTTGTGGGACACCTTGGAGGCGCCTGCTTCCGCTGGAGTTTGTAAACACATTGTCCCTGACATACTTTAGGGCTGCCCCTACATTACGGGGTCTGCCTCCTTTGTGTCTCAGCCCCCTGATTGAGTCCAAAATGTCTTCTACTTTGTTGTATGTGTTCAGATAAAAATGGACCTCTGAATCTTTGCTGTACTGGACCACAGAGACACGGTCTTTTGTTTCTCCCACTCTCAGTTTCTCCACCACTTTCTCGACAAAGTCCCGCATGGCAGAGAAGGTATTACTTGTGCCATCGGAACCATCCAGAAGAAACACAATATCTCTTTTGCCAGTGTCAACTGATAAAAGAAAGAAAGGCAAACAAATAAGGCAAAACTATGGACAGACTACAACTGACTTGTATTCATGATAAAATATTGGAATGGTTTGAAATTCCCAAATTTCATTTAGAGCCCTTTTCTCTTTCTGCATCAAGTTTAAATGGCAGTTTGAC